AAGAAGGTTGAAGCCTGTGGGGCAGCCTTAAAGTTACTCCCGTAAGCAAAGAGAACATATTGTGAAGATACAATATTACAACCCTTGATTGATATCGGACTTAACTGCTTTGTTTTCCTTATTCTCCTGTATGATGTTTTAATTCTTGCCTACGGATACTTGGCGTAATATACTTTGGGAAGCTAATAGTTGCAGATTAGGCGGGGGGCAGCTTTCAAGAATCATTGAGGCGGTCACTCCTCATAGTCTCGCAATGGCTCGGGATATGTATAAGTACGTTGTGACTACGTGGACATAGAGCAGGACGTGTAAAAGCGGAGATAAACACACCAGGAGTAAGCGAGCCGATCAGGTGAACTTGGTGTGAGCATTCTCCACGTTGTCTATTTGCGACCACCTCTCTCAGTCCATTATTGGACTTGGAATCCCGGCCCCCTCCCCCACGGCCACTTTTGCGAGTCCAGGCTCGTTCGTGCCCTAGTTCCCTGCTCTAGTCCTTTGCGGCAGGTGGCGATAAAAGACCAACGCCCGATGCATTTGGAGCAACAACCAGCTCAATAGTTTCACAAGTCGACAAACTGAATAAGATCTTCAGAGGAAAACTTCAAGATTTTCTCCGTGAAATATAAAGAAGTTTCACAAAATCTGGAAACACAACATGGAAGTGAAGATTCGATGGATTATATAGTACGATATAAGCCAATACTGTAGTGTACATACTTTCAATACGAGCATACGGGCATCACGAGCCCTGAGGAAAGACCACGACAAAATGGTCGAAACCTCGGCAAAAACAGCCTTCGACGCGACGTCACTCGGACAAGCCAAGATAATGCATTTTAAAATATGTCCGAAAGTACGAAAACAGTTTTAACATTAGCTTCGGCTATTTTACTTGGGAAAAAGATTCACCAGATGAACTCTTTAAAGCAGATAAACGTCGTTTTGAGATCAAAAATCGAGTTGTAGGATAAAAGAGCTCGTCCTTATACTCATTTTTTACGGTATTTGACAACGGAAGATCTAGACCAAGGTGGAGTAATAACAGAAGACCTTAGAAGTAAAAATATATAAAATAAGAGGTGAGGAGATGGAATAAAGTTGATATTTACACAATTAGTTCCTTTTTAAAAAATTAACATAAATTTAAAAAAAATTGAAAATCGAATCAATATTTTGAGTTAATGCATCAAAAAATTTTAAAATTGTATTCGAAGGAAGACGGAAAATGTGAAAAAGATAGTTATGTATACTATTACAGACCGTTTACCTCCGGTCTGTAGTAGTATAGAATCTCTAGTTTTGATATCCTGGAAAAATAGATTGAGATGCAAAGTGACGAACGCATAAACCGAGTATGTGCTTGCGGTCCGCAAGTACGCCTCCTCCGTCGGGCTAGGCTACGACGCCGGGCCTGGCCGTGCCACCGCGCTGACAAAGGGCGCACAACGGGTGGTGGGTGACGCAACGGCAGAAGGGGAAGTGGGGGGCGAGGTGTTTTCGTAAATTTCACTTTACGACGCTCCTATCGTCCAATTTGCATGATTGTCACGGCGTTGGATTCAAGAAGCATGTCGCCATCGCGCTATAAGGCCACATTTTAAATTTTGGAGTATTAGAAACTAATTTCAAATTCGCGTATTTTTAGATTTTTGGAAAAAAGTATCGTAGGTAAATTCTATTTAAAAAAAGGCGTCAAAATGCCTTACAAATCGAAAATCGGACCATTGGTTCAGACGTTATCAGTAAAGTAAATTCCCGTGTGATAGTGCTGCGATCTATTTTTCGGTGCATTTATCCTTAAGCAGTTGTTGGTCCCTTTACACCAATAATCAATCATCAATCAATCATCAATCAACAAAAAAACAAAACAAAAGTGCATAATTGCATCCGCACAGTAGCGGATTTCCCATAATACGCTGCTTCTAATCTCAATGCAGGGATATCTCGGCGATGTGTGCGCTGGCCTTTCGAGAAGGGAAGTGACGAGGGGGTTCCCCAAGTTGGCGGCACGGATGCCCTCCGGGCGTCGATGGCCGAGCGACGGCGACTGGTCGCAAACGCCCGCAGCGGCTGCTTCGGTGCCGACGCTCCAGAGGACACCGCCGTCGCCGCTCCCGGCAACGCAGGTTAGTCCGCTTCGCATGCAGGAACACTTGCCGCCTTCGCCTCCAGGGCCCCGTCCTAGGCGCTCTATCTCCAAGGCGGATCCACATATCTGGCATTCGGCGAGTAGCGCGACCACCACTCGCGGAATTCTGAGTAGTGTGCTATTTGACGAGCGACGAATATTCTGGTCTCACCACCTGTCGGTCTTTTGGACACATCAACGGCAGCGAACATCCCGGAGGACACCAGGTGCCCGTGATTGGGGGAGTAATAGCTCGCTGTTTGGCGAGTGTCAAATGTGTGGAGCCGACTTAATATCTTTATTAATATGTGATGAGAAAGCTTCGTATCCTTTTTCGAGCATATTACGTGCACGGAGGAGTATGGAATTTCGTGTAGTTAAGGCAGATACGGAGAAAGAGAGCAGAAAGCTTAAGTTTATGCAACACGCTGCAACGCACTACTAACGTACATCGTGCTTACATGATACGTTTTAGAGCCTTAAAACTGATTTTCGTGACCACTAGGGCACATAGGGTTTGTTTTCTGTGCTCTAATCTACAAAATGAGACTCGTTTAGGTGCTTTATTCCAAGCTTAGCATTTGAGAGATAAAAATATTTCACTCTGTGTTTGCATTTGTGTATGTGAAAAACGTATTATTAATAAAAGTAATAATAATAATAATAATAATAATAATAATAATAATAATAATAATAATAATAATAATAATATACGAGGGTCATTTAAATATAAACCGGAACTTGATTTATTTGTCTCGCATATTTACATGAACAGTTTGGGGTCCCTGGGAATCTGCGATGGAAACAGAGAGAGGAGGTAGCCTTGCACATGGTCCTGACACTCGCGTCTGCCATTTCTGTGTCACTAGAATGAACAGAAAGTATGTGTCTGTCGTAATTATTTGTTTTATCCCCAACAAAGGTGTGAAATTGAATGACATTTTCTAGAGATTCAGAGCACAGTCCGATAATGCTTCTCCAAGTGTTCCATTGGGACCAGAAGTGTGGAAACAGCCGTGATAAAGAAGAAAATGAATGTCATAAACGAGGTTCGGCGACCAGCGTCAAGTGAAGGCAATATTCAAGTAGTGTGTGTACTTTTTCAAAACGATCGCCGTATTATTGCTTCCCATATTGCTTAAAGGCAGGTGTAAGTGGTAAAAGTGTCCCTGCGGGGGCTACCGGTAGCTGGCGGCTGATGAATCGGAGGGCGACTATCAATTCACGATGACACGGCACCGCCCCAGACGGGACAAGTTCTAAGCTCTCGACCGGTCTCCCAGCATGTGTGCTCGTGTAGTGCGTGAGTGTGTGTAAGGGGAAATTGTGTAGTGCGTGTGTGTATGTGTGTGTGTGTGTGTGTGCGCGCGCGCGCACGCGTGTCTGTGTAAGGGGAGAGGATAGGACAAGGAAGTGGTAGGAAAGATCTGCGCGGTCCGTTGCCAGTTTTTTGGGTACTGCTCCGGCATTCGCCTGATGTCTATCGGAGAAACCACGGAAAACTACCGATCAGAGCAGACGGTCGCTAGAATTCACCTCTAGACAGCGAGTGAATTTGACCTATCTGACAAACTAGTGTCGAAAATCCTGCCACGGTCGAGACTCGAATCTAGGACCTCCCGGTCAGAGGGACTGCAGTTGATGCCCTGAGACATCTCTCCCGGTGGGATCCACTTGAGCTACTAGCTCTCACCTGTCTCGGCAGGTGTGTTGCGCTCTTACTCGTTTGTTGTGAATCTCTAGAGAGTGTGGATCTAAGAAAATGATTAATAATAATAATATAATAATAAAATAATAAGTAAATCAATAATCATAATGCTGGGAACAGTATGTTAGTTCAGTCACAAGATACTATTAATCAGGCTGGTCATTCAATCTAACCGAAGCATGGGAAACAGAGGCATTGTAAGTGTAGCAACAAGCATTGCGAGGAAAACTGCAAGACACGCAGAATAACACAGACACCGAATCTCTGATGATACGTAACATGAAACGTGTGTTACAAAACTCGTGGAGAGGCAAATCTCTCACTCTCACTCTCACTCTCACTCTCACTCTCACACTAACTCTCACACTCACTCGTTACTGAGATGGTGGCTAACGTTTCGGTCAGCGTATTCTAGCCTTTCTCAGAGCGTACTGCTGTGCCGTGTGATCAAAACGTAATCAAGGACGCATAGAAACGTTTTAAATACTAGAGTTTGGAAATCAAGGTTATCCGAATGTTTAAAGGAGTTTGGCGGGAGTTTGGAGTTGCCCAATTCGCGAGGGTGCTAGGAGAATATATGGTTGGCGTTTTACCTTTTCCTGCCCGGCTTTTATAAGGCTAGACCCTTTCTAATGGCGTATAGTCATGTCGATCACGTGGACTTCCCGACTTTTTATTCTTAGGATTCCGGCGGACAGCCTAGAAGTAAGGCACGCAACATGTCATATTGGTGAGTGAACTGTTGGTACGTGGTTGATAAGATCTCCGAGTGGTAAAATTACGTTGTTTAATACTGTTTGATATCTCCAAGGATTTCTAGCATCATCCCATTCAGGATTATTGAATATTCCGACACATGAATAACTACAATGTTTACGTATGATATATCTGAATAACAACATTTACGTAGGATAAGGATGTAGGAATCGGATATGAAGTGGGTTGTTGGATAATCTGAAGTGGGTAACAGTTTCTTATATTTGAATCGGATCTGAAGTGGGATAAATATCTTATAAAAGGATTTATCATCGGATTCAATCTAAATATGCTTTAGCTATTTGTGAAAAAAATACTCCCTTCCGGCGATTCTACGTTGTCCGATCTTCCGAGCATTTCCTCCCTCTATGACGTTCTTGATCTAAGAGAAAGTAATTTACTGGATAAAAAGTAAATAATTTACCTCATTTGTTAGAAGTAATTCATTACAAATACGAACAACACTTTAATTTTCTTGCCTTACGACGTAATGTAAAAGTGTGGTAAACGTAGTAGAGTTTACTTAAGAGAAAGAATTGTAATCGTACGACGGAAATCTGCGTTTTTTTGACATACGAACTCTTATTGTCGAGTCCTGGTAACGAAAAAGTGAATAAATCTTAATCCAATGTGTAACAAATTTCTTCAAGCTCATTGTGTAATCAGAATCCACGTTTGTGTGTTCTTGATACCGAAAAATCGATTGATGGCAATATGTCCTTTGTTCTAGGTGCCTGACATCTGTGGTGAACGCTCCCTCCTAAATCGTTGAAACAAGTTTCTCCGAAAATGATCTTAAAGGCCCAATGAGTATAAAAAGGATGTTTTCATTTTGGGAAAAAATTAACGTGAAACCGCAATAACATTTTCAAAATGTTCTCAAAAATGGATCCAAATTTGTTGATTTACTGATGTCCTCGGGCATCGTTAAAAACGCTTAAAAATGACGTGTGGTTTTATTTTCGTTGAAATCTCTGAAGTTTCGAAAATTGGAAAAGGATAAACATTACGAGATATGATGTGCTGATATAACACAACTAGTTTCGTTATTAGGACCTGCAATAAGAATAACTGTCGAAAAATCGCAGATTTCCGCCTCAGCAGTACAATACGTTTATTTCACGTAAGTAAGTTGTGAAGCTTTACAGTGAAAACTTCACATTTAGAAGTACATTAAAGAGAAAGTAAAAATGTCATTTTTTCTTTAAATGCATAAGATAGGTTCGTTGAAAAACATTTGTAAAAAGTCGAGAACGTATTTGTCTCTCGTAACCTCTCCAATTGCCGTGCCCTAGACTCTAATAGGAAGCGGGGTCTTTGCCGTCGCGGACTCCGCAATGTGAAATTCATGCGGATTTCGTAGCCCTGACTCGGCCAGCTAGTAAGTTCCGCCATATTGACGCAATGTGTTTGTTCCTTGAGAAGATAATGAAGAAATGGAGTGCGGGCAGGAGAAAACATTTACTTGGCGTGGATTGGAAAGGACAGGGCTCTTTTTAAAGAACTACCGAACTGGCCCAACAACTTTTTTGTTTCAACTTTGTGTATATAAAGTGCTAAATGCACTAAATATTATGAGAAACGCCATTTTGATGTATTATTTTGATTTTTCAAAAATTTCACAAATACATTTTATTTTAAATATTCACGTTAAATAATCACGTTAAAATATCCGTTATAGATATATTAAAGTGTTTACCATCACTATAAAGTCAGAAAATTTTAAAATGAGCAATAGCTCACACAAAATTACGCCAAAAATTGTTAATATTTTCTAAAATGTGTCTGACATTAATTTTGAACAAAAAAATTCTACGCTTCTGAAAATGCGTAATTTGGAGCTCTATTTCACTGAAATGATTTATTTTCCGATAAATTTCAACAGAAATTATTTGAACTTCTACCAACACATTCAATGTAAATTTTGCCTACAATGTAAATTTTAACGACATTTAAATAATTGACATGAGAGACATTTAAATAAAATACATGAGTAATTTTTGAAAACAATCTTCTTGTTTATTTATTGCACTTTGCTCACTTTGTATAAAAAATTCAAGAACAAATTTGGAATCGTGTTTGAAAGAAAATTATTTTAACGTTTTGGAAAATGCGCAATATTAATATCATTTTCACAGAAAAGTTCACAGAAAACTTCGAGAAACTTCATCAGAAATAATTTAACGCACATTAACGCATAAACGCAATAATGTATAAAAGCGTTAGTAATGTAAATACTAACGAAGTGAAAGACATGTAAGAATTATTACATTTGGGAAATTTTGATTTACCAAAATAATGCATTAAGCACTATCAGTACAAAAAGTTTATCCCAAATTTGGGGCTGGTTTTGCGAACTCACCATATTTTACTAAAAATTGTGCAAAATGTCTAATATGTTCAAAAAAATGTCCACGATATTTATTAAAGAATTTATTGTTGAGAGCAAATTTCATTTGAAGGAAAATCTCTTATCTTCAATATCGCAATTTAAAAAAAATTCAGATAATTCAACGAAAATGAGAGATATGCCCTATTTGATTATGCTATTTTAAACATGTATATCCTAGAAAAAATCTAAACAAAAAATTTGGACGGTTTATGATAAAATTTTGAAAATGTTAAGGCTTCACGTAAAATAGGTGCATCAAAAAATCCAAATGTGTTTCATATTGAAGGAGCCGACATCAGTTAGATCGCTCGGGGAATATCAATTTTGGTGATGCTTTTGCCTACGGCGAAGGCGTAAGCGTTATTAAAGAGTTTTTGCAAATCTTGAAGCTCAAAGATAAGCGGACCCAGCTATTGTCACGTTGTTCCTGGACCACTAATCACGGCATCCGTTGCAAAAAAGCGGTAACTGAGCTCGGTTCGGTAAGCGAGACTTCACAACGTGTACCGAATCGGTAGCCAGTCATACATTTTGGGTTCTTAGTTCACTAAGAAAGTGGACAAGAGTCGACTGCGGTTTTCTGCAAAACATTACGTGTGCCATTGAAGGAAGTGTTGACTTCCAGTCGACATGAGGAAGGAAGCTAGTATGGAGAAATATTGAAATTATTGTGGTTTTGCAAACGGGATACTTTAAAATAATAATTCAACGTTCCAATTTACACAGACTTTAAAATTTCAAGTCGATTTGGTTCTAAACTTTCGTGCAGAATTACATTTCTACATCGCCCATGTCAATGTAGCCAAACACATGGGAATCGGTTACAAACGCTTCTCGGTGATGTTTTCCCAGAAACAAATTATTGCGACGCATGATGGAAAGATTTCACCATTATTACGAAGTAAATAATCAAAACCACAGTAATATATGGAATAATACATTCGAATACATAATATATATATATATATATATATATATATATATATATATATA